CATAAGATAATTTCAAAGGTTGACTACTAAAGCCAGGTTGTTCAAGGCTATTTCTAAACATCACTATTCCTTAACTGTGTGACTTTGGACAAATTATCAGTTATTGTGTTCCTCAGTTTCACCACTAAGGGATGATGATAATAACATGTGATTATAAAAATAGTATCTGCTTTATAGAGTTACTGTGAAAAACATGGAAGTTAAACCTGTTAGATCAGTGCTTGGCATAAAGAAGCAATAAGCAAATACTGGTTATTGTTGATTACTACTGCTATTATTGTTTTGTTACTGCTTTAAATGACTGAGGAAATGATACATTATTCATAACTATTGTTGAGAAAATTGGTTAACTATTTAGGATATAGTCATTTTGATCACTAGAGCTTCCACTATATAACAAAATAAAACTCAGATGCACTAAAGACAAATAATAAAAAAAAGAAACAAAAATGTAAACAAATATCCACTAGTAAAGCAAGTAAGAATTTTCTAGGCATATTTATTAATGTAGAAATCTTAAAATATGAGAATGAGCAATGTGACCATATTAAAAAGCATCCACCAAAAAAATCACCATAAGCTTAAAAGGCAAATGGAAAACTGGGTAAAGTATTTGAAGTAAGTATCAAGGGGTTGACTGTTAGAGATAAGGACAAATTAATAAGGACAAATACCTCATTAACAAAATGAGCCAATTCAATTAAAAATCACTATGAAACATGATTGCAGATAACTGACAAACCTTTGATCAAATACTCTTATAAGTACTAGAAATGTAAATTAAAACACTGATATGCTGTTTGGTATATCAAAGTCATATGAAACTTTGTAAGAGGAAAAAGTTGTTGGCAGTGGACTGCTTATTTCACCCACCACACAGCATTCTGCCTATCTCTGGGCATCGATGTTTTCCTGTTATTTCTTCATCTATATAGGTTTAGTCACTGACTGATGGAAACAATGAACCAAAGATGCTTGCAGACAGAGACCCACATCCTGACTATTCATAGATTTGACCTTGACTCACTAATTAATTCGCCACTCTGCATGGCTATTCAGTCTGTCTTCAAACCTATAATGTGTGTATCCCACACTGTCCACAGGACACTGCTAAGAGTAGGCTGAAGTCAGAGTATGGGACGACTGCCATATTTTCCTGCCTAGTTAGTGACTACACTCAGGAAGAAAAGAGAGAAACCTAAGCTAATCTGCTGACAGCTCCCACACCAACCTGTTGGAACCACTTCTACCAGACACTCCTCTCTGAAAGCTCTTACCTGGGCTTGACTTCAAGTTATCAACATGTACACTTTACAAAATCTATATTCTTTGGAGAAAGTTCCATGTTCATTGCTCCTCTCCATTCTTTTCCGCATGGTTTTGCAAAGATTACTTGCAGTGGTTTATCCATCTCTTCTGCAAATTGTCTGAACCTACTAGATTGTGTTTCATCCTCATCAGGAGACTTTAACTTTTGTAGAACAGTTAGCCCTTTCTATGCCTCCAAATATCTTCTCCCAAACCAACAGAAGTGAACAGGAGTTGAGGAGCCAGATTTTCTCTTGACCACCCACCAACAGGACATCTCTCAGTCTAAGCACTGTAGACTAGTACTGGAAAATTGTCTTGGTTTATTCTGCATAACAGGTCTTGGGTTTTGGTTCCAGGCCACATTCATGCTGGTACAACATTTTCTGATTATGTTTTGTTGTTGTAGTTTAGTTTGTATATCT